AGAGACTGGCTTATTTCACTTAGCATAATAATCTCCAGGTGGATCCATGCTGTTGCAAGAGTGAGAGCTCCTTCTTTTATACAGCCACATATTACTCCTCTGTGTGAATGTACCACAGCTTTACCCACTCATCTACTGATGGGCATTTGGGCTGTTTCCAGATCTTCACTACTGTGAATAATGCCACTATGAACATGAGGGTGCATATATTCTTTCTGACTCGTGTTTTAGAAACATTAGGATATAGTCCCAGAAGTGGGATTGCTGGATCAAACAGCAGTTCCATTTCCAATGTTTTGAGGAAACTCCATACTGTCTTCCACAATGGCTGCACCAGTCTGCATTCCCAGCAACAGCGTACGAGGGTTCCTTTTTCTCTACATCCTCGCCAGCACTTGTTGTTTGTTGATAATAGCCATTCTGACAGTTGTGAGATGGTACCTTATTGTCATTCAAAAATATTTTTCAAAAGGAATCAGGTTTTAACTCCCCTTCTATCATGCCCAATGTTCACTCTCTCTCAAATCCTGACTGGGCATCCTTGAAACCATCCTTCATAGTATTGCCAGAGATGCAAATAAAATCTGAGAACCTTTTCACATATTTTGCAAAGTATAAAAGGGCTTCTGTAGCCTGTACCTGGTCTGCTTCTTCCAGTCTCATCTCAGTCCCAGCTTCTCCTGTGCCAGTCATACTGAATTCCCTGCCTGCCTTGATCTCCTGCACTCTCTTGTGTCTATACTTGCTGGAATTCTGCTGGAGAATCTCCCTTCTCACTCACCCCACACCCTTTCCTGAGGTTTCCTACTCTTCAAGTCTTAGCTCAAACATTACTTTCTTCCTTAACTAAGTTTTTCCTCGTTCTTCCATGTCGCTTGAGATCAATTCAGCACATCCTATATAATAAAGAGGTAATATGCAAATTGACCATCATGCCCTCTCACAAGATCACCGCCCCCATGTGATCACAAGGTAGCCACAATAAGATGGCCGGCAGGGGAGGGCAGTGAGGGGCGACCAGGCCTGCAGGGGAGGGCGGTTGTGGGCAATCAGGCCAGCAGAGGAGGGCAGTTGGGGGGGGACCAGGCCTGCAGGGGAGGGCAGTTGGGAGCTACTGAGGCTGGAGGAATTTTGTAACCCATTTTTTTTCCTGTGACCTAATTTCAATGCTTCTCCTGATAGACAACCTCAAGCACATTTCTGTGTATCAAGATATAACTGGAAATAGGCAGCTACAGAATTAATGTTACTTGAATAGAGGCTCAGCCTCCGGTGTTGGACAGAGTCTGTGCACAGGCAATGGGGAAGCTAAGTCTTGGGATGAGAAACATCCGAGCAAATACCAATTTGGACGAGATAGATCATCGGATGTTGTCAGAGGGGCTGCCCTCTCTGAGGTAATTAAATCTTTCCAGAGGTTACTCTGGCTAACCAGCATAATACCTGGAGATGGAAAATCGTTCTTTTATTGTCACTGAACATCTGTCAAAAACAACTGATAAGGAGGTGGAGGAAATGAGGGATAATTGGCGCTGGAGGATTTGTGTTGTAAGTTTCAGTGACAGTGTTGGCATTACACTGGAAATCCCTTGTCAGCAAACAGATCTTCCTGCCCACACACCAATCCGTTTGTTTCCTGAGGCCCTCCTCCTCACATGGCCATGGCACTAGGCCAGTGATGGCGAACCTTTTGAGCTCAGCGTGTCAGCATTTTGAAAAACACTATAACTTAACTCTGGTGCCGTGTCACATATAGAATTTTTTTGATATGTGCAACCATAGTAAAACAAAGACATATTTTTGATATTTATTTTATACATTTAAATGCCATGTAACAAAGAAAAATCAACCAAAAGAATTAGTTCGCGTGTCACTTCTGACACGCGTGTCATAGGTTCTCCATCACTGGGTTAGGGGGTACTCTGGCTGCTAGGCAGAAGCGGTTAAGGGCAATCAGGCAGGCAGGCAGGCGAGAAGTTGGGAGCCAACAATCCCATATTGTGAGAGGGATGTCCAACTGCCGGTTTAGGTCCAATCCACAGGTTATTGGACCTAAACCGGCAGTCGGACATCCCCCGAGGGGTCCCTGATTGGAGATGGTGCATATTGGTCTGAGGGACACCCCCCCCCTGCACGAATTTCGTGCACTGTCCCTCTAGTTGGATTTTAATTATTTATATACCAGTCTTTCCCGTTAGAATGTGAGCATCTTGAATACAGACACTTTAAGTTAATTTTTCCCCTAGCATCCAGCAGTGTTTTCCAGAAAGTCCCTCAGTAAACATCCTCTTACTTGGTAGCCATTTTTAATCTGCCACAATGTCTATTGTTGTGTCAGTTTCAGTATTTTGTGTTTGTTTAAGAATTAGCCCATTTTATTTAGGTTATCTAATTTTTTTGGTGTACAGTTGTTCAAGATATTTCAATATACTCCCCTTTTTAAAATACATATTCTTCTCAATTTTTGAGAGGAAAGGAGAGGTAGAGAGAGAGAAACATCAACGAGAGAAAAATCATCTATTGGCTGCCTCTTGCACGCTTCCCACTGGGGATCGAGCCGCAACCCGGGCATATTCCTTGAATGGGAATTGAACTGGTGACTTCTTGGTTCCTGGGTCTATGCTCAATGGCTGAACCACACCTGGCTGGGTCATCTCCCCTTTTAAAATAGTTAGTGACATCCCGTCTTTAATTTCTGATTCTAGTATTTGAGGTTTGTCTCTTTTTCTTGATTAATCTAGTCTACACATTGTCAATTTTGTTCATCTTTTCAAAGCATGACAGTGTGGGTCTCTATATAGCTTCTATGGATTCATCCAAACATGGATTGAACTTTTTTGGAAAAAAAAGTTATGGTGATGGGTACTATGTAGTAGGCCTGTAATGGTTGCATCTGTACTGAATATGTACAGTTTTTTTTTCTTGTCATTATTCCATAAACAATACAATATAACAAGTATTTATGTAGCAGTCATATTATTTGAGTTATTGTATATAATTCACAGATGATTTAAGGCAGCGGTTCTCAACCTGTGGGTTGCGACCCCTTTGGGGGTTGCACGACCCTTTCACAGGGGTCGCCTAAGACCATCGGAAAACACATATATAATTACATATTGTTTTTGTGATTAATCACTATGCTTTAATTATGTTCAGTTTGTAACAATGAAAATACATCCTGCATATCAGATATTTACATTATGATTCATAACAGTAGCAAAATTACAGTTATGAAGTAGCAACAAAAATAATTTTATGGTTGGGGGTCACCACAACGTGAGAAACTGTATTAAAGGGTCGCGGCATTAGGAAGGTTGAGAACCACTGATTTAAAGTATATGGCAAGATGTGTGTAGGTTCAATGCAAATACGTCAGCATTTTATATAAGGGACTTGAGCTTTCCAGGATTTTGATATTCGCAGAGGGACAGATATTGAGGGACCACAAAAATCACTGATTTTTCTCTATTCCTTTTTTATGCCCAGTTTCATTAATTTCCTCTCTAATCTTTATTTTATTTCCTTCTCTGTGTTTTCTTTAGGTTTGTTTGCTGTTATTTTACAGTATTTTTTTTACAATTTATTTATGTATTTAATTTATTTTTGTTTGTTAATCCACACCTGAGGATATTTTTCCATTGATTTCTTTTTTTTAAGGGAGAGTGGAAGAGGTAGGGAAA